ACACACACACACCTTCTCTCTCTCTCTCTCTCTCTCTCCCACAAACATACACATACACACACACAAACAACACACACACACACAAACACACACACACACACACCACCACCACCACCACACACGCGCACAAGATACCTTTTCACATAATGGAGATAGACCCCGTATACAAACATATTCTAATGCTAATATATGCGCACATGTAGACGTAGCCGCTATACAAGCTTGCAATTAATTTCCGGTGCACGGAGATAGAAATCGGCACTACCGTAAGCAAGTCAATTTTCTTGTACAAATTATGCATGTCACTGGCAATGTCAATCACATGCATGCAGTGTCGTTATGAATTTATTTATACCACAACCTTGAATCCATGCCCCTGATTATGCTCTTACTGCCTGCAGGTGTTCCTATTTGTCCCCGGCCTGAAGGGTTGATATCCGTGATTTTTCTCTCTTTGAATTCTAAATCGTTCCTAGTTATTTATAAAAGTAACTCTTTTCACTGTAGCGTAGTAGAAAAAAAAGAAGGCAAAAGAGCTCAGTTTGAGAAAAACCGGGAGCGTAGTGAATAAAACAATAATGGCCAGATCCATAGCTTTCAAGCTTTCGTCCCTTCTCACCTGTACTACCAACCCAACGCTCTTAGTCTTAGTCTCTTAATGGCTGTATTTTATTAGGAAGCAAAAAATGTCTACTCAGCTCTCCCACAAACGCAGTGCAGGGACTTTTATGGATCTGCTCGAAACGTTCCTGTAAAAAAAAAAGTAAGGGCAGTGAATAAAACTTTCAACCGTTTTATGCTCGGTTTGACATGAGAAGTGGTTGGTTTGAAAGTGAGAATAAAAAATTGTGATGTTTTCGCTTTTCACCAGCACTGAGAGATCCTCTAAACGAAGATGAATCTTCTCTCTGTGTCTTAGATTAAGTTTGTGGTCTGTTGCTAAGAAGTGGTTCCTATTTTTACACAAACCACTGCCACAGTGATATATATTCAACGACAAATGAAGGGCTGGCCAGTGCCGACAGAATGGAAGAACACCTACATTTCCGAAAGAGTCGTATGTCAATAATGCAAGTGATTAAATTGGACTGACGGCGGAGGAGGAAAATATTTCAGTCCTTATGTCAATCCTATTTAATTTTGATTTCTCTTTCTTTCCTTTCCGTTTATACCCCTCTGTATCTGCTCCCCCCCCTCTCCATCGCTCTCTCTCTCTCCCTCTCTC